CAGCAGCAGCAGCAGCAGCAGCAGCAGCAGCAGCGGCAACGGCATCTAAGGGGCCTCAGCGTGCATAGGGTTTTTTTCTTTGTATTTAGGTTTGCACTTCTTCGTTCTACGAGTATTGAAAGCGTCTGTTGCTGCGTGTATAGCTTCTGCTGCAGGTGCTGCTGCTGCTGCTGCTGCTGCTGCTGTTGCCGCTGCTGTGGCTGTGGCGCCAGCAGCAGGAGCTGCTGCTGCGGACGCTGCTGCTGTCGGCTGTGTGCTCTTGAGGTTTGTTTGTTGTGAATTGTTTGGGTAGCGGCAGAGGACTAAGCATATCCTTTAAAGGCAGCTTGTGTGTCGCTGCTGCTGCTTCTGCTGCTGCTGCTGCGGCTGCTGCTGCTGCTGCTGCTGCTGCTGCTGTAGCAGCCGTTCACTCCTGCGAGGCCTCTTTTGTGTGTCTTGCATATCTATAGCATACAACAATGCCGCTGCTGCAGATACACCCGGAGAAGGTATTGGAGGTGCCCTTCACTTTATACAGCAGCTCAGTTGTGCAGCTGACGCTGCGCAATGTCTCAAGTCATCCCTTTGTCGCATATAAAATTAAAACTACAGCACCGAAGAACTACCTCGTCAGGCCTTCTACAGGTATGCAGCAGCAGCAGCAGCAGCAGCAGTTTCACCAGCAGCAGCAGCAGCAGCAAACGCAGCAGCAGACGCATCTGGCTCTGCTTTGTTGACTCAGTTTAAGGGTTTAGGGTTTAGGGTTTAGGGTATTTGCATGTGCATTAGTGTTTGTCTGTCTACTCATATATAGCTCATTTTTCTGCTGCTGCTGCTGTTTTTGCTGCTGTTTTTGCTGCTGCTGCTGCTGCTGCAGGTGCAGTGCCTCAGGGAGAGTCTCGCTCAGTGCAGATAGTGCTGCAGGCTATGACTGAAGAGCCTCCAAAGACAGCAACAGATAGATTTCTTGTGCAAGCAACCCCTGTAGAATCAACAGCCCCTCTCCCGCGTAGCTACTGGCTGGAGCTGAGCCGCAGCGAGATTGAAGAAACTCGTCTAAGTGTTAGCTTCAAGCGCACGGGCAGCTCAGAAGCAGCAGCAGCAGCAGCAGCAGCAGCAGCAGCTGGTGCTGGTGGTGGTGCTGCTGCTGATAGACCTGGGCCTGGCAGCGGTGAAGATAAAGGAGATGCTGATGGCGCCCCTGCACCTGCAGCAGCAGCACCCGGCAGCAGCAGCAGCGGCAGCAGCAGCAGCAGCAGCAGCAGCAGCAGCAGCGGGGCTGCAGGTGATTTAAGACAGCAGTATGATCAGCTTGTAGAGTATACATTGGCTATGGAGAGACATAAGGAGGAACTAGTGCGTGAAAATGAAGCGCTGCGGCAGCAGCTGCAACAGAAGAGCTGCAGCACTTTCTTTAGTTTGTCTTATCTGCTTGTTTATCTATTTGTAGGGTTTATGCTGTGGTTGCTGCTAGATAGGGCTTTCAGGGGTTCAGCAGCAGCAGCATAATATCATAACATGCAGCAGAATAAGAAAGACAAGCACGCCGCTTCTCCTGCAGCAGCAGCATCAGCAGCAGCTGCTGCTGATGCTGCAGCAGCATAACATGCAGCAAAAGAAAGACATACACCGCCTCTCCTGTTGCTGCTGCAGCAGCAGCATAACATGCAGCATAAGAAGACATCCTTGCCGTCTCTCCTCTTCTGTTGCTGCTGCTGCTGCTGCAGCTGCTGCAGCAGCGTAACATGCAGCAAAAGAAGACACGCCCGCCGCCTCTCTGCTGCTGCTGCAAGAGCAGCAGCAAACAACAATACCAGAACAAAGGGCTGCAGCAGCAGCAACAGCAACAACTTGCGAATAAGATATTGCTGCTGCAGCAGATGCAGCAGCAGGAGCAGCAGCAGCGCGCTGCGCAGATATCCAGCAACAGATGCTTCAATACATTTATACATGCAAGTATATTAATATTTATATCTATGTTTATATATGTATATATATATTTATGTATATTTATATATATATTTTTATATATATTTATATATTTATATATATATTTGTATCGATGCTTATGTAGAGATTTGTATCTGAGCATTTATGTATATGTTTGTGCTTACATTTCTTAACTTATATATTTAATTGTATATTTATATATACGTTTAAATATATTTCTTCGGTGTACATGCATGCATTGTAACATACAAACACTGCTGGGGAAGAGACACGGCCCCAGGTATATCTGCGCAGCAGCAGCAGCAGCAGCAG